TTGAATAATAAAATCCTTCGTTTAAATATTGTTGACAAATTATTACCTATTCAAAATTCTGCATTTGTATCTTTTGCTTCTAATGTTGATAAATCTATGCTTTGGCATGAAAGATTAGGTCATGTCAACTTTAGAAGGATGCATGAGATATCAACAGATGGATTAATTCCATCCTTTGATATGACATATAATAATGTAAAATATACATGCTTACAAAAGTGACAAAACAACCCTTTCCTAGTGTCACTAGAAATTCAACTGTTTTGGAAGTTGTACCCAGTGACCTGTGTGATTTTTACTTCACTCCTTCTTTAAGAAATAAAAAATATGTAATCACCTTCATTGATGATTGCACTCGGTTTTTCTATATGTATTAGTGGCATTCTAAAGAGGAAACCTTAGATAAATTCAAAATATACAAAACCGATGTGGAATTACAATTGGGAAATCTGGTTTAATGTATTAAGACTGATAGGGGAGGTGAATATATGGATCCCATATACTTCCAATCAGTGGGTATCATTCATGAGACCATGGCACCTTACACACCCCAACAGAATGGTATTGTTGAACGTAAAAATCGAGTTTTAAAGGAAATGGTAAACTCAATGTTGTCATACTCGGGATTGAGTGATGGATTCTATGGAGATTCCATGTTAACAGCATGCTATTTATTAAATAGGGTTCCAGATAAAAGGAACAAAACAGTCTCATATGAACTTTGGTTCAAGAAAAAGCTGAATCTAAGTTATTTTCGGGTTTGGTATGTCTGGCAGTTGTAAAACTCACCGAGCCCAAAAAGAAAAATTTAAGAGAACATGGAATTTATTATATGTTCATTGGATACGTTGAAAATTCCTAGGCATGTAGGTTTTATGTAACAAAACCTAATGATTCGGTTTCGATTAACATCGTTATCGAATCACAGGATGCAATATTTGATGAGATGCATTTTTTTTATTCAAAGGCCTAAGAATCTAACTTTTGGTACTAATAAAGTACAAAATTCAGAAAGTCAAAATGGTGGTAATGTTCAAGAACCACAAGAGCTTCTTAGAAGCAAAAGAGGCCAAATTGCGAAAAATTTCAGATCCAGCTTCCAACTGTATATGGTGAAAGGTTCAGGGGATGAAATTAATCTTGAATACTTTTATTTCTATAGTATTGAAGACGATCCTAAGACATATCAAGAGGCCATGGAGTCTCGCGATAGTGCCTTTTGGAAGGAAGCAATTGATGATGAAATGTCATCAATCCTTGAAAACAACACATGGGTGTTGATATGATTTTCATCCATGTTCTAAACCACTTGGTTAAACATGGATTTTCAAAAACAAAATGAATGTTAATGGAATTATTGACATGTTCAAAGCCCGATTAGTCATTCAAGGTTTTACACAAAAACCCGGTGTTAACTATTTTGATAGGTATGATCTGGTTGCACGTATTTCTACAATTATATTGTTGATTGCCTGGGCAAGTATCCAGAATCTGGTTATTCACCAAATGGATGTGAAAACAGCCTTTTTAAATGATGCTACTAGTGCTGAAGTGATAATTTGCTTATATGTAGATGACATGTTGATTTTTGGTACCGACCAAAATCAAGTAGATGAAACAAAGAAATTGTTATCATCTAAGTTTTCCATGAAAGAATTAGGAGAGCATGATGTAATTCTTGGAATAAGAACTAGAAGGATGAAAAAAGGTTTGGTAATGACTCAAAGTCATTATATAGAGAAAATTCTTAATGTGAGTAAAACTCACTTAGTTTTAAACCTACTTTAGTTATCGAATAACACACAAAAGGCAGTGAACCTATCAATTGTGGTATAGCTAAATAAGCAGGGTATCGAACACAGGGAACGACAAATTAAATTAAAAACTAATTCTATCTAAGTTGATTAAGAAATAAGGGTTTTTCTCTAGTTTTACAAGACTAGAAACTTACTAACTATAACTAATTTAAGACTAGAAAATACCAATTTAACTAGATTCAATAATTGGAAAGGAACTTCTATTTAGTTAAACTCGGTTAACTCTATGGTTGATTTTGAGGTAATAGTGCAATGGATTAATTCTTTCGTTGCTTACCGATTCAAGTGATTAGGTTCATGTTCACTACCCTAATCCTTAGCAAATAAACTAACTCAAACAGTGGCCAATTGCTTAATTTAATTATATTTACTAGATTAATTATTCGGGTTAAGTTAGACTTGCAATAGCTAATTAATTTATTATTCTTAATTAACCTCTTGTTTGATGGTCATCTTACAAGCTTGCATATGAGTTTACTCAATTTCCTTATTAATCCTAGTTTCATATTCATTAATCCTAGACATATGATATAGTGGTCACATATCATATGAGGTCAATAATCAATAGATGTTCATGCTAATCAATTATCTTCCTATTAACAGAAAATTAATTATTATTCATACACAAGGTTCTTTAGCAAGCTAAAATAACAAAAATTCACCAACTTGGAATTAATCCTACCAATCAATCAAACCATATTGTCAACTTTGTATCCCCAAACAGAAGTCTAAAGATTTTAGTTCATAATTAAAGTAAATAACAGCAAACAAACAAGTTCAAGTTGCTTAATCATATTGACAAAACAAAAGAATAAGTAGAATGATGAAATTGTGCCTTAATTACTTCCGGAATTGAATTCTAGCTTTCTTTGTCGACTTCTAGGGTTCTTCTGGCTTCTTAATCGCAGCAAAACACTTCTGAATCGTCCCCGAATTCTCCTCTCTCGATCTGTGGAGTTATCTTTAAATAAGCGATCCGACTCGTCGAGTCAAGTGGTGACTCGTCGAGTCCCTCTCACATTCCCTGTATTGCGATAACTATCTGGAATTTCGAATCATTATCCTTCTGATTCCTCGACCGGACTCGTCGAGTAGGCTATATGACTCGATGAGTAGAAGCCTTTTTTAGTGTTTTTCTTCTTCATTCCACTCTCGAGCTCCTAACCGCTTCTCCTGCTTCCTTTTGCTTCCGAGCTTCATCTTTGGACTGAAAAACATAATTTAACACTTTTAAGTACCTTTTGTCCATAATATGCGATAATTTAGCTAATATATGAATAAAAAAGTATACTTAATACACACTAAATACGCACATATCAATTCTCAAGCGGTTTAATTTTACCGATTGTTCTCCTGTGATCACTCTTATAGATCCAAGTGTGAAATTAATGCCAAATAATGGCATTCCCATTTCAAAATAGGAATACTGTAAGGCTATTGCTTGCTTTATGTATGCCATGTGTAACACCCAGAAATCAAGGAAAAATATTTCATTTTTATTATAGTCAAAACATCGATGTTACTTAATCCAAACATTTAAAAGTATTTCTTAGTAAAACATTTATCAAAGTTTAATCCCAAAATCACATATTGCGGAACACGGGTGTATGCATTGCGATCAAGTTGGGCCCTTCCTTTTTGAACCGGAAATACGTAAATCCATAAACAAAATTGCAAGCACGAAATACGTAAATCCATAAACAAAACTGTAAGCACGAAGCTCAGTGAGTTCCCCAAATACCACATACCATACACATGAAAGAGCTACACATATCATACATAATTATGAGCCATACATATCATACATAATCATGAGCCATACATATCCTACATATACCACAATCAATAAGAGTGCTATGTGTCAACCATATTCTTGCCATTATGCCTTGAGCCGCCTTGTGGTCTTCCTTACCAAGATGGGGACCACAACCCTAGGTCTTACAGACAAGTGCTAGGATCCACCTCCTGGTCTTTCATGCAAGCATCACAAAGACGACTAGCATACAATTCTACCATTACTAACCATTTAACTGTCAAAGTTCAGACTTTGGTCTTGCATACAGATTTCCAAGGGCTACCCATTGGTCTTCCTACAATACACAAACCAAACGGGATCGCATTGGTTCCTTCGACCCATAGAATAGTTAGGAGACTCACCTCACACTGCTGAAGTCCTACGGACAAAAACTATGGCTGCTAGCTGACAAATCCCTAAACTGTCAACCTCAAAATAACACCCAATTAATAATTGGGTTCTATTGCATAACCATAACTCCATACTTGGGGTAAAGAGACTATTTTACCCTAACCTAGATTGGTCCAAAATCAAGGCCCAAACTTAAACTCTCGAGGCCCAAAAGCCAAATAATTGATCAAGGCCCAATATACGGCCCAATTTTCCAAATTGGGTCCAAACCCCTTACATGGGCCTTACCCTAAAGCCCATCCACATATCCTATCCACACACATGTTCTCAGATGGCCCAACAAGAACCCACAACCTAAGACCAAAAGGAAGGCCCAACTCAAGGCCCAAACAAAAATAGGGTTTTCACATAAAATAATGATTAGGGTTAAGTAAGAACACTTAACCCAATAAGGACTTGATCCATTCCTTCCAATATTGAATTAAGTTAATTGCAAAGGATTATTAATTAATATTTTAAGTCTAATAGATAGTTTCAGTTTGGGTCCCAACAAATTCCAAAAATTATGGTTTCATGACATTAGGGTTTTCTAAACCCTAATTAGGGTTTCCAACCCAAATACTACCCAATAAGGTTAATTAGATTTTAATTGGTTGGGCACCACCCACTAACACCCTGGGCGGTGGTGGTCAATGGTGGTTCACGATGGCAGCCACCACCTTACAGTGGTGGTGGTTATGATTTTAGGCCAAAACATTGAAAAGCATCTCATCCAAAAATACACACATATACACACTGCCACCCAAAGTGGTGGTTGGTGGCAGCAACACACACACACACACCAATATATACACTCACAACCACCCACACACGATGGTTGATGGCGACAAAAAAGTAGAAATGGCGGCAACCACCATGGTTGGCTGCCATGGTGGTTCTCTCCGACTTTAGCCAGCCAAGACACACACACAAATCATGATTGCAGCTGTGATACAGACGTATGCGAAGCACGATCACTCGTTGAACACATAAATAACTCAGCTTCCTTTGCGGTGGCAGGCGGTGATGGACGATGACCGACACAACAAAAAGGTTGTTTGGGTGGTGGTGGCGACATTTAGCAACAGCCTGAGCAAAAACGAAGAAGGAAGGACATTGTTTGCGGAAAAGAGCTGGTTGCGTCCGTCACAGTAGCGACCACGGCGTCCGTCACTACTAGAAAAAAAACCTTTTACGACGCTCATTGCGCGTTGTAAAAGGCTCAGACGACGCGCAAATGCGCGTCAAGGAAGGCCTTGTCATAAAGAGAGACGACGCGCATTTACGACGCTCATTTACGACGCGCCATTACGACGCGCGTTTACGACACGCAATGCGTATCAAGGAAGACCCTGTCATAAAGGAAGACGACACGCATTCGCGTGTCGTAACCTTACGACACGCATGTTAATGACATGCAATACGTATCAAGAAAGCCCCTGTTAAGAAAGGCCATGTCATAAATGAAGATGACACACATTTTTGCGTATCATAATTTTAAATGTTTACAAAAAAAATAGTATTTATAGATTTACTTATTTTCAAATTAAATTTGTATTTAATGTTTCATAATAGAAAATAAAATATCATATACAAAAAATAGAATCCATTGCATAAATTTAATGTCATACAAATAATCATTCCATGGAAAGATAAAACAAATCAATAGAAGTTGTAATAAAAATTTACAAACTAATAGTTCTAATAACCTAATGTGTGCCTCACTGTAAACAAGATTTGTGCTGATTTTTTTAAATGTGTGCCTCACTTGTCTCCACTCTTCCTTAGTAACACCGTTCAAGGACTCTAAATGTATGAACTTGCTCAAAGTATCTATATTGCCTGCAAAAAAAAACATAACTACAAAATAAGTGTGAAGATGGATTATTACAGTGTAAGAGAAGTAAAGAACCTTGAGCTTCCTCCAATGGGACACATGGGTAGTCAGACTTGATACACTTTGCAACACGTATATCTCCCAATGCAAGATCAACATTAAGGTAATGGGGAACAACATCACCTAAAATCATATAATATTTATATACCCCTAGACTAGATAGAGCTTTGCAACAAATAGCAACCTACTTTATTTACTCTGTTTACCAAACCAATGTATGGGAAAGGAACCTACTTTACTTTCTCTTATGGTATATGAACAGGATTAGGATTGGTTGTGTTTGCTATATTTTGGTAGAGGGCATTCATTCATTCATTCTCATGTGATTTGCACATAGAAGACATTAGATTTAGATGAGAGCTTTTTGGGTTTGGATGATAAAATAAAACTTAATAAATGAATGAATGAATGAGGATGACCTTTGATCTAAACTGAAGAGCTGAATCGGTACTTCGAGAAATTAGCCTAGCAAGTGGAAGCATCTCATCAATTTCAGCATGTGGAACCTCAAGCCTCATTCTCAGCGACCCATATAAGATATCACACTCCCTAAATGACCAGCCATTTCTCTTCTTAGTAAGTTCCCTTTTCCTGTTTCTTTTCCAGCTCGTGACCTGGGCAACACGTATTCGCCTTGAAGCTCATACTGGCTATTGCTTTGTTCCAAAACAACCTTCTCAACAGTTATCTGAACCAAACTAACATTAAACTATCAAAGGAAAAACTAAATATATAACTATTATTTGAAACAAAACATCCGATTTAACTCAACTACTAACCACATCCCTGCTCCATCTAGCAACCAAGTCTAGAGCTTCGCCTAACACACCGCTGAACCTTGGATGTAACAAAGAAAAGATTCCATGGTCGCTACTTTTCTGGAAATTAAGTTGCACTTCTGCCTGAAACAAAAGGAACAAACAAACCACTTAAAACCTGCTAGATATAGTCAACAAATTTACCAACCAACACAACCCCACCCAACTAATCCTACTTAACACTACAATCCTCCAACCATTCTCTACCAAGTGTTACTATAGTGTTGACTAGACACACAACAAGGGAATGAAATTAACCACTAAAAATAACTAAAAAGAAAAAGGATAAAGAAGCAACTAGTTTCTTATTTTCCCATCAACTGTGTGTGTGTCCGGTCAGGATAAATGATGTTTAAACTTTTTCACTTTGGTAGAGGAAAGGAGGATGAAATACATTGAAATGATTATTACCTGCTGAAGGAATAGGAGCTGTTGCGGCAGCTGCAAATTTTGAAATGAACACATAAATGGTAAGAAAAAATCACGACAAATTCTTATACAAACCAAAAGAAAATGTTGTTGTATCAATCTACCAACCTTAACTTAGATATCTCTTTTCTTGTTTATAAAAGTTTTTTTGATGAAAAGTTAGAAAATGGTAATGTTGTCAAAGTCACATTTTAAATCCCAAATCAATTGACAAAAGATACAACAAACCAAACAGAAACATAAAAAAGTATGAAATTGAAATTATTCCCATTTCTGCCAACCAAAGGCGGAATAGATTGGAATTCCTTCAAATTCCAATTCCTTTGACAGATTCCAGATCCTTCTAAACAATCAGTCCGTAGCATAAAATTTAGAGTGGTTAGAGGCTATTATTGTTAGTATAGTTATGAAGTCATCAGCTGCTACCATTAAGATTAGAGTGGTGGCCGGAAACACAACTCAGTTACTTTATGCTTGCTTCTTGAAATCGGTCGGTAGCATAAGATTTCCAATTTTTTTTCTATTCTTTCATGATCTCTTAATGTGTTTCTGTTTTGGAGAAAGTACAATAAATATTGGAGGGAGGGAGGGAGGGAGGGAGGGAAGGGGCTTTCTGCACTATTTATTTAAGAAGTAATTTAATTTAATAGATGTAAGTGCCACATGACACTGAATCCGTTACTATATCATAAGATAAAATAGTAATGCTTCTTTCATCCCAATTATTTGAAAGCATGATGAATTAAACGATATATATGTATTGATGCTTAGGGAAAATAATTTATTTGTTTAGTTTCTATACTTGCAGTATATATGATGACATGCTAAATTGGTTCAGACCTGTACAAATATAAGACCAGCTAAAGATGAGGAACTTCCAAACCCCTACATAGAAGAGTACCGATAACCCTCCTCTTATCTAGATATATATCTGTAATTGTGTCTGTCTAGATTTCTTTGAATACTCCTTTCTTTTTTAGTAGTGTTAATTGACTCATGAATGTTTAGCTAAATGAATCCACACGATGTTAGCAGTACAAAATTCTTGATATTGTGCAAAAATGATGTGTGGTGTAACCCTAAACCCTGAGTTGGAAAACATGGTAGAATGTTGTTCTTCAGTATGAGGAAATAGGTTGTTATTTTATATTGCTCCTTCCAGTTCAGTTAGTTATTGTTTCTCTTTCCTAAGGATATGGCTATGGCTATGGCTGATGGCATCAGTTGGTCAGGCTATTGATTTCATAGTGCATTTCCGCAAACAAGTGCCAAGTAGCCCCTCTTTCTTTCGTTGTACACAACTACAAATTAGTCGATGGTTGAAATAAAAATACTATACTTATCTATAATTTTCAGATTGAGTTTTCAATTGAGAAAGAAAATAATTTTAATCCAAACCCACCCACCACCCCAATCCAATTACCGATCTCTTAAACCTTATTTTCAATTGAGAAAGAAAATAAATTTATTACTACATAACACAATAAATTTGTGTAGGCAACTTAAGAAACAAGTCACAAACCTTATTTTCCGAGTATCCTTTGCAGCCCCTGTGGTATTGACAAGCTCAGCCTCCAACTCCACCCAAAACTTTTGACCTACACCAGTGTATGTGGAGAGGAGTGACAGGTATTGTATATGATACTACAAATGGTAAATCTAGTAGCACAGTGTACATCCTCTGTTATCTTCTTCCAGACACCAGTGTCTCCCATCAACACACTTGGTAAAATTTATAAATATAGATACTGCATATATAGTACAACTTGCATGTGCTACTGGCTACTATCTGTAGAATTTTTTTTTAAAATTATTTTAAATAATGGAAGCAAAACAGATGGGAGTTTGTTTTAAACATAAAGAGAGGAATAAAATTTACTTATTTCTGTTGGAAATATTTATGGCTTCTTCCTAGCTATCGGTTTGAGAAATAAAAAAGGTGAAATTACAAAATTAGCCCTCAAGAGAATGAACACAATCAGTTAATTAAGTATCATATATATATATATATATATATATATATATATATATATATATATATATATATATTAAAAATATAAGCAAAATTTTAAATACCTTTACTGTTTTCTCAAATCTGCAAGAATATGTTGGCACTGATGACTTTGACCTTCTTAAAGGTTCTCTCAATAATGTTCCATGGGTTTGGATTGGAGATGATTTTGTAACTGTTGAAGCTCTTGCGCGCTTTTGATTCACCTGTAAAATACAATCCATACTTGTATGTTGTCCCATCTGAATTATCTGTTTTCAGAGATTTGCTTCTTGCTCTTGGAGTTCGGCTTTCTTTTGACCTTTTTTACTATGCTAATGTTATATTTATGTTACAAAAAGATGTGAAAGGGTCACCACTTTCAGAAGATCTGTTGAGTTTTGTCCTTTGTGTTCTAGAAGCTGTTTCAGATTGTCAATCAGAGAGATCAATGTTTGAATAATACTTCTTAAAGGTTCTCTCAACAATGCTCCATTGTTGGTGCCTGATTCTCGAGGGCTTCTCATGGCTGCACGGGATGTGATGTATAATGATCGTGCACCTTGGTTTGATAATAATACCCCTCTGGAAAAACATATCATACAGGGTCGTTTGAATGTACTGTCGAACAAGCTTACACATGGAGTGAAGTTCGTCTGAATGACCTCTATTTTCCTTAGTTCTACCTGGAGTGAGGTTCGTCTGAATGACCTCTATGGGGGGCAAAATGTAAAAGCTAGTAGACTCACCTATTGCTTTAACCAAAAACACCACCATTTTCCCTGAAAGAGATCCTTTCAAGCAGCTTGTCCATTAGATTTTATATGCATCAGCAACATAAACACAGCCCTAGGAACATCTAATAAAGTCAAGATCACTTTGATTCATCCAAACATAACAATAGAAACACATAAAATAGAATTATAGATAAATTTACTAAAATAAATGAGTGTATAGAGAATTATTACATCAGGAAAGCATAGCAAGGAGCCAGCTACTGAGCCTGCAACAGCCAGAAGTGCACAAAACCGGAAGTCATATATCACATGTTCAGTAGCAGACATGGAAACAAATGGATGTATTACAAGACTGCAAGAGAATCCATGGTCATTCATTATAGATAATTACATTAGGATTGATACTAATTTCATGGACTACCTCATTCTGGATAATTTGGTGAAGAACCTCTTAGCTTCAATACTGTCACCATAGTTTTAACAGTTTCACAACTTTTTTTTTCTCACTTTGGCATTTCTACAAACACTTTATGTGCATATTTCTTAAGCATGTTATGAACCTCTACAACCCAATTGTTAGCATCATTCTAGTCAATTCCTTTCTTAGCAACCTCTCTAACTTCCTCTCTTGGGGGGGTCCAACATTCCAACCTTAAAGTAAACAAATAGGAACCCAACATTTTTGCTTTCTGATACAAACCTCCATTGTTCCTCAAACATTAGTTTATGAGCAACTGTTACAATCATACATCATACAGACTAAGATTTTTCCAAGAAGGTCCGAACAATCATAATATAATCACAAAATATGTAAATAGAGAAACAAAGATATACAAATAGAAAAATAAGGATTGTGGTACCTGTTCAGCCTTAATCACATGCCAATCGGAGTTGAGGGCTTTGAGAACTGGAATCGGACCATATTTGAGCTGGTTGACCATATTTTTTCTGACATTTGTGTGCATAATACTCGAAATTCAGAAACCCTAGATGTATAAACAACACTTCGTGAACCCCATAAGAAAAGATAAGGAACTCATAAATCATGTGTGTTTGCGAAGGAAGGGGGGAACGAAAGAGTGTTAGAATGGAAGTCTGTTTTGATAAAATACAAAGATGATGATGCCGATTTGTTGACTATAACATGTACCTGTGAGCTCAGATTAGCTGAATTGATTGCAGATGGCCTTGCGCTTCCAGATAAAGAACCCTATACCTAAAAATTCGACTTATTTGGGGTTTTTAAATTGCATATTGTTGAGGTTACCCCTGAGCAGGAACCACCATTGTTAGAAGAAGTAGAAGAAGACAAAGTGAAAGAAGAAAAGTCGGTTGAGATCGAGAGTATTGAAGTAGAAAAGAATGGGACCCATTCCGATTTTGAAAGTGAACAAAATCGGAAAAGGAATCTGAAAAAAATACCCGATGATCCAGATTTGAAATAAGTTGAAATGGAAGAATGATTATTTGAATTTGCTCAGTTATTTCGAACCCTCGCACGTACTGGGTTGAGAGAAAACGAGAGAAGCAGAAGCTTGAAAGAAAATAAAACCCTACCACGTGCTAGAGAGAAGGGATGTGGCGATGGCTTAGGGTTTACAGAGATACGGGAGGTAGAGAATGAAGGGAGATCTAGAGGAGAGAGTATCAGAGGGGTGAGTAGATTGCAAGGATGAAAAATAGATAGAAGATAGAAAAAAGGAGGCGGGTTTTCAAAATTTTGGGGATTTCCTTTCCCCCCTTGTCTACTAAAAGCGTGTTTCATTAAAATTATAAAGCGACAGGTATAGACGACGTGCGTTTAAGATAAACCGCCCTCCGTGTTTTTATTTTTTTCTTGAGACACTAAATTAAGGGCACGCAATAATACGTGACGTAAATCCTTAAATTTTTTGGAGAGATAACACTATTTTAAGGGCACGTCCTTTTGCGTATCATTAATCAGTGCGTGTCGTAAAAAGCGCGTCATTAAAGGTTTGTTTTCTAGTAGTGCGTCGTCGGTCCTCGTCCTCAATAACAAATGAAACAACGACGACGACCCTCGACTTGGTGGTTCCCAGTTTCGATGTCGGTGGTGCAGCAACGGTATTCGGGATCACAGTGGCAATAAAGCGGTTGGAAGAGTGGAGGGATAAGGGTGGCGGCTAGGGTGTGATCTTAGGGTTAGGGTTTGCGATGTGTTTGAGACGAGGGAAGGAGGTTGGCGGGTTTAAATCCCGCATCCCATTTCAAACAATTAACCATATAACAACTTTAATACCTCATTCCCTATTTTTATTCAAACTTAGCCCATATTTTACTCTTTAGCCCCTGCTTCCTAAAAATCTATTCAATACTTGTCCATATGATACCGTTTAACCCTCAACACCCAAGAAATATAACTTTCAAATCCTATGGCTAACACTGAAGTTATTACAGATTAATAAAATAATATATAAATACATCTTGAGGTTTTAGGGCTTATTATTTATTTATTTACTTATTTTAATTTTATTTATTTATTTGTTTATTTAATTTTTAACGGAATGTTACACCATGACAAGTATGATACCTGATATTGCTTTTTCTGTGTGTAAGTTGAGTTGGGACACTAGTAATCCTAGTGCTCAACATTAGCAAGCAGTGAATAGAGTAAGTATCTTAAAGGAACCATGGATTATGGTTTGAGTTACTTGGGGAGTCCTTCGGTTTTAGAAGGTCATTCGGATGCAAGTTGGATAACCAACATGGAGGGCCATTCCTTAACTTCTGGTTGGGTATTCTCGTTTTGGGTAGGTGCCACTTCTTGGGCTTCGAAGAACCAATCTTGCATTACAAACTCAATAATGGAATCTGAGTTTGTTGTGTTAGCAGTTGCGGGTAAAGAAGTAGAGTGGCTAAGGAATTTAGTCTATGAGATTCCTTTGTGGTCTAAACCAATAACAACTATTTCTAACCTTTGTGATATTGCAACCGCTTTGGCTAAGGCATATAGCCAAGTTTATAATGGAATTTCTAGAAACCTAGGTGTTAGAAATTATATGATTAGAGAGCTAATCATGAATGATGTGATTTTGGTTGATTTTGTGAAATCGCAACAAAGTTTGGCAAATCACTTGACTAAAGGGCTGACAAGAGACTTACTGCACAAGTCTGTAATTGGGATAGATTAATGTCCATTTAATTCTGTAATGATGAGTCACCCAATTCCCTCCTAATATAATGTTAGGAGTTGAATTCAATGTGGAAAGCTCATACTTATAGATTGGAACACATGAAGTATTCATCCTAGGTATGTGTTCGGTTCTACAAGTTAGCCAGGTTGAAGTTTAACTTCTTAATAACTCCTTTGATAAATGTATGTGCAGATACATGGAAAGGATTTACCTACGTGATTGTGAAATGTAGTCGTATTTCATGAGGTTGTAGACTTGACCTTGATACGATCATGAGAGGATTTGGACACATGGCTTTATAATAGTGTCAAGTTGTATTTTGCTAGAAGTTCAATACACTAGTATGTATTTTACTTTCTGGTATTTAAATGGGTTGATGGGTTTAATTCTTAGAACACTCTGATTCTCGAGTATTTGCAAGTGTATGCTACTAAGTTTAAATTCAATTGGTTCAATATTTTCATTAAGTACTAGTTTGGTTTGTTTTTATAAGGTTATGTTTGTTAAAGGGTTACACTAAAATGGGGGAGGAGTATTGGTGATTTTAGTGTCACCATGTCATTTTTTGTAATTGGAACTAACATGTGACCTAAGGGGCTTCATAATTTGTACTCTAATATATGTACGGGGTTGTGTGGAGTGCATGCATGTATAAGATCAAATTAAAAGTCGGTTCGACGACAAGTCGAGGGTCCGGGGGTTGCGCCCCTTTGGCAGAGTCTAGGGGCAGCGCCCCTAGCGTGGTCCAAAGGGTAGAGCCCCTGGCTGGGGTCTCCGAGTTTTACATATGGGACCATAATGTGAAATTCAAATTCTTGAGGGTGATTATGGTAAAACTAACAAAATTTTATTAGTTTTGGAAACCCTAAATCCTCATTAAAATCCGTATTTCCCTGCCTTGCTTCCAAAGCAACCCATGAAGGCAACCTTAAGAGAAACTCTAATCTCGTTTATTATATAAATGGCTCTTATCTTTAAGAATAGACACACGAAAATTATAAGCTATCATTTTCTTCAAACGAACATAGAATCTTTCTAACAATTTGGCTTACGACTTTTATGCCTAGAATCGTAAGTGTCTTCTTGGATTATCTTAGACCGAATTTCTTGCAACCCAGACATAGGGTAGAAATAGTAGTTTGGAAAGTGTTCACACGACCCAAGTGGTATCCAGATCTCCAATGTAAACCCTAATCCCTCCAACAATTTTCAAGTAAACTATTTGCGCAAAATAACTAATAATCTCTAGAAACTAATTTATGAAAAAAAAAATTATCAGTACTCTTTGCTTGACGTGGATAAAGAGTTACTACATATAAATAATGGATTTTATCTCTTATATAAGATAACACAATCTCTACAATATCTAAAGCGGATGGTTAATGGTCGGACTAGAAATAAAGAATGTAATTAAGTATTTTTTTTATTATTTATTTTTATTATTATTTTTTTTTAAGCACAAAAGTTTTCAAGGTTGAAGAGTGAAGACATAGGATTTCTACGTGAGAACTAGATATATAAAAGTTTATGATACATAACAAAGCATCCAATGTTATCAGTACATAGTTGTCTGTATTAAAAACTACTAATAATTTTACAAATTATAATATTCAACGTTTAAAAAAGTTGAGTTTTGATAAATAACAAAATGTTTATGGGGTGTGTTTAATAAACATCACCGTTAATTTTTATATGCAAATAATTAATGAAATTTTCTTTTGAAATAATTACATATAATACAATATATATCGATAGAAGACAACGGACAACAAATTGTTTTGGAGATATGCAAATAGAAGTACATTTTAATGTTTGTTACGTAAATATTTTTTGATGTACGCAAATATGAACACATTTTAATGTTTGTTGCCTAAATTGCTTTGGATAACAAGAAAATTCCGATTTTGACGAACTAATGTGGGAAACGGGAATGCCGTGCATTGTGCAAACTTACGTCCCACATAAATACATCACCTTTTTTTTTTTTTTTTGGTATCACATGTTTATTTTATTTTCTTTCTTAAACGATCTTTTGATGTTTGGATATGCATTTAAATTGATTTTTATGGATTTTAAAAGTTTGGATAAAAGTAATAAAAAAATATGTTTTTATCATTTATGATTAAAATAATTAGAGTTATTTTGCATTGCCAACTCTGTATTTATAACTATCTTTTTCTACCGATATAATTCAAGATCATTAGCTTGAAACTTAACTCGGGGTGTGTTTTAGGATGATCATGACACAATTAGTTTGGTGCCGTTGCTCCTCAAAACCGAATCGTAGATCGCAAATGTGGCTATTCCAACCATGAACCGTTATTTTATGTTGGGAAAATGGTGTCAAGAATCCCCACAATCATCCTAATAACAATAATAATAAAAATAATAGTAATAATTAGACACAAAAATATAAATGGAAACTCCAAAACTTAAGAAAAACTATAGGCCTTTCCAAAGAAAAATCCACTTTATGATAAATTGTTACATAACATGTACTAATCTCTTAAACCTTTCCATAAATATAACTACACTCTCCCACAATGTTAACTAACACTTTCTACTATCTAAAAAAAAGATAGGAAAAAAAACTGAACACTTCTAGTGTATTTTGGTTGGGTTGCTTTGAAACTAAAGTATTGGACTTTTTTATAAGCTTGGAGTCCATCCAAAGGTTCATCCCTATACTGATGTGGGATGTGAACCTTTTCTTTCATATAGCCAAAAACTCAACAAATCTTCACCTTAGATAAATGAAAGAAAATTGCAACCACATAAAATGAACA